AATTTTACTTATTGCCTTTGCTGTAAAAGTGCTTTTCGTCCCATGCTCATCTCAGTATTTCATGTTCCCATGCTCCCCGTGGCCAAGGTCACGCAGCCTCCTTTCTCTAAGATCAACAGACCCATAATCTCTCTCCAACTCATCCACCGTCGCTGCCCCTCCATGGCCACCCTTCACTTTTGGCTCTGTTAATGTGACAAGCTCTGAGCTTGTCTTACCGCCAGTCTTCTTTTTTTCTGAAGTGCAAACCAGACTGTTTCCTTACTTAAATTCTTTAACTCACGTCCCATTTCTGAAGCATAAAAAGACTTCTGAAATCACTCAAGTCATCGTGTTTAACTTCCTATCTTTCAAGCTTTATTCTGTTTCTACGCAATGTTCTTTCTCAAGTTTTTTGCTTTATTTTGCCACAATATGTTGTCTGAAATTTCTATGTGCATATACTAGACACATGCCTGTATCTAATGCTTGCTAGATGCACATTGATTATTAGAATATGAACAAATTCAAAAGCTAGACCAGAATCATACTTCTGGGCGATTAGTTCTCAAGCTGAGGAGCTTTGTGGGAACAGTTCTTATCCTAACATTAAGCCTTTATAGACCCCCTTTCAGAGTAGCTTTTCTCCCTGCCTTCTCTCTTTCCCTTCATTTTAATTTAATTTCTGGCACACTGAATTTCCTTCATACTCAGTATAATTTATAATTTTATTTTCAACTTATTTTTCCTCTCACTCCTACAAATTTCTAAGCCTCATTAAAGACATCGTTTACCATACAACAATATCATAAGTAGCTGATATATAGAAGGCTGTCAGACAATTTTTTGAACAAATAAGTTGAAGAGTGACATTGATAAATATTTTACCTGGTATGATCTTATAATGCTAAACCAAGAAGCATTTAGTAAGTGGCTCCATATTTCTAGTTTTGATGTAGTCATTTAGATCATGAAATGAAGGTGGAAAGTAAAAAGTTCTTTTGTACCCAAATAAATTAAACTTGGGCTAAAGACACATGTCTGTAATAATTTAAGCACCACAAATACATGGTAGTTCATGCATATATTCTTGACATCATGTTCTATTTCATTTACTGAATCATTTAAGTATTAAAAATATATGTAATGTATTGTGTTGCTCCTCAAGAAATTTGTAATCTGTTTTGGAAACCAAGATAGATAAGTACATGCAAGGAAACATGGATTAAAATGTAAAGAATATGTAATTAAATAATGCTATAAACAACAAATATTGGACCCCAAATTTTTCCTCTGTGATTTAATTTCCTATGTAACCTTGTTTGAAACAAAAAAGGACAAATTATATGAATGTTTTTCAAAGCATTGGTCTCATTACCAGTGCAATATGGTATTAATAATCTTCCCAAAGCATACTAAAATAAGTTAAGCCAGGTCACTCAGAAATGACAAACTGATATTGTTAAAACATATTATTCAAAAGACTTGACTCTGGATTCATTATTCCTACTTAACTCTTACTGTAAATTTTTAAACATGGAAGAAATTCTTTATCAAGCTTGGCAAATAAGGAATATTTCTTGGCCAAGACTGCTTTTACACACTGTATTCTTTAGTTAAGCAAATATTAAGTACTACTTACCACTATGGTATAATAGTAGAGAACACAAAAATTCTTTTCCTGAAAGATGCAAATAAGAGATAAAATGCAAACAAATTGGAATGTCAAATCAAACCAAATAGTTTTCCTAATGTCAATAGAAAGGCACTGAGTACCAAAATACAAAGCAAAATGTAAAACTCATTTTGTGCATGTGTTTTTATCATGTAACATGTGCAACAGGTATCTGTAGTCTAACTTCCACCCCACAAGGGAAAGTTGAACTATTTTATTCATTTCTGTATTCTTAATATATTTATAAATTTGTGTAGCTTCTCTCTATATGAAGACTAAATTACAGTGTCTATATATGTATTTTCTTTCTATCTCATAAAAACTCCCCATATGTATTAGACTGTTGGGAAGAGTCAGTCCAATACGCTAAAGTCATTATTTTAGAGAAGTACTATGAGTTTCAATATTAAAAATAATTGTTAAAATGTAATTTAAGAGATGAGGAACAGAATAGTGGATGCTAAGGGTCAAGATATGAGATAAGTGTAGCTATAAAATGCAAGAGGAGCAATCTTTGGAGGTAATAGAACTGTCCTGTGCCTTGGTCACACCTATTTCAATACTGTGATTATAACGTCACACTATGCCTTTGAAAGATATTCCATTTTGGGGAAACTAGATGAAGGGTACAGGAGTTCTTCCTTGTATTTTTAAAAATTATTTCTTAAAATTGTATGGAAGTCTACAATTATATTAAAAGAAAAACTTTGACAAGACATAGTAACATTCTAAATAATTGAATATAAAAGGATTCCACAATCCTAGACTACTATAAGTAAATGAATAAATGGGAAAAGACAAAGCCCTTTCTCACAGAAGAATGTTTACTTTGAAGGAAAAACTGAATCATTTGGCAGCCATCAGGATGATTAGTTTGTGCCATAAAAATCAGTGAATGCTAAAACTAGACATTAAAGTTTTGATTAAACCAGGATATTTGATTAAACCTCTCTATAAAATGCCTTTTACAATTTTTAAAATGAATTTTGTTCAAAAAGCTAGCAGCCACCACCTCAGTCACATAACCAAAATTAACATCACCAGAAACTCAACAGATTCCCATGAGCTGCTGGATAAGATTCAGTGACAACCACAGCAGCATTTCTGTCTTATTTTGTTAAAGACAAATAATACAAATACAACAAGAAGAAATGATAGAAATATCAAATTTGGGAGACATCCTCCAAAGGACCTGAGATCTTTAAGTGAAAAGGTCTTGAAAGTCAAGAAATGATGGATGGACTATTCAAGATTAACAAAAACAACTAAATATAACCAGGGTCCTGGACTTGATTCTTTTTGCTTTAGAGGATATTACTGGACAAATTGGTGAAACTTGAATGGGATCTTTGAATGAAAAGGTGGGTTCTGTTTCTCTGTTAATTTCTGATCTTGATGGATGCATTGAGGGTATGAACAAAAATGTCCTTGTGTATAGACATTACAAAGTAAAATACTTAAGGGTGTTTGGGGCATCATGTTGACAATTAACAAACTTTCAGAATTTCATGTTTACAAGTTCTGTAAAACTGTTAAACTTTTCCATTAGTCTGATTCCGTTTCAAAATAATAAAAATTACTATAAAGACACAACTGAGGATTGTCTTTGCAGGCTAGTGTTGGGATAAGAGTATCTGTGCTAAATTTGTCCTTCATTCTCCAACAAGTATTCATATTCAAATGAGGACAGCATGACTGAAAATGGGATGCCCTAAATCAAGTTTTCTCTATAAAGGGCCAGATATTAAACAGCCTAGATTATGAGTCATACAGCCCCTGTTACAACAATTAAACTCTGATATTATTGTATAAATGTAATCAGAAAGAAAGTGTGGCTGTATGCCAATAACATTTTATTTATGGACACTGAAATTTAAATTTCATGCAATTTTCATGCACCTCAAATATGTCCCCATTTGAAAATGTAAAACCTGTCCTTAGCTCAAAATTCATATAAATATAGAGGTAGATTTTCCAGGGACAGTGGCACACACACCTGTAGCCTCTGCACCCAGAGACTGAAGCGGGAAGATCAAAAGTTAGAGCCCGGCACGAGCAATTTAGCAAACCATCTCAAAAACAAGAAAGGGGAGGGAATTATAGCTCAGTCTCCATAGTTGGATTTGACCAGTGGGCCTAGTTTTCATATTCCTCTTTTATAATTTCAAATTATTATATAGCTCATCGTTAAACAGATTATTAGTAAATAATCTGTTAAATCTGAACCTTATAACTTTCAGGGAAGAGTCAAAGGATCTGCTATGCAAAGCGCACAACATACAGGTGAATTCTAGAAAGTGAACATAGTCTTCCTGGGTAGATTCGGGACACGTCCTGGTTCTGTTATGAATGTTTCTTCTGTCAGACGATACTTAAATCCAATCTCAGTCACAAACCACCCCATCTCTTAACACATTAATAAGCTTTCATTTTATGAGTGTTTAGGATCAAGTGAAGCTCATGAGGCATTAAAAATAAGTCATTTGTTTCAATTTCCCATAAAAATATTTTCTTTAATTTGGTGCAGTAAAGATTCAGCATTACATTTCTACCACCATTATGTAAGGTAAGTGTGAACTCTAGAGTTCAGTTGAGAGGCTAGAAACTGTATCACATAATTAAAATATTTCAGAGGCTGAGAGACTCTTAGAAGGAAAAAGAACAGTGGAATCTAAACCAGTTGTCAATTAGAAAAGATAAGGGGGAGATTGAAAGAACTCATTAACTGAATGAGTTGGTTAGTTTCTGAGCCCGGACACCAACAAAACCATGGTTTTACTAACAAAATGGGGTTGGGGAGGTTGAGAGACAGCTAAATTGTAAACATGAGTTCAGAGAGATCTGATATCTAGCAATGTTTTATCCACCTAGATCTAAAGATTCATAATTCCCTTCCAAATACTCATTGGGGCATAAAACATGCTGTTTCTTTCTAACACCTTAGCAATAACCTGGAAAGATTATACTGGGCATGTGGTACTTCAGCATTAGTTTTTAAATCTATAAGCAGAAAGACTGCTGGGACTTTCTAAACTCCTAGAGGTAATAAACATATACATGGTAGTCAAAGGTCCTACAAAATCTGCATTAAAAAAACAATAGAACTGCTGTTCTATTTAGATAAAGGACTATCCTAACATCAAATGTAACCCACCATCTCTTACGCGTTAGAAAGACTGGGAAAAAAGTATTGCTGGCCAGGGAACAGCTGGTGGCTCTTCCTCAAACCTTAGCAGCCCTTGTAGCAAGGAAATAAAGAGGTCACAGAGGAAGACATAACCCAATGCAAGCTACATGACTCTTGAATAAGAGAAACAGGACTGACCAGAAGCACGCATTACCAGCATTGATTGAGAATGATTTATTAAGGTCCAATTAGTCACCTTTGAGTTTCCAATCATCCGTATCTCCTCCATAAAAATAGGCATATCGATTAAAGTCCACCATCTTTTCTTTAACATCCAGTATAAAAGGTTCTGTGTTTTGTACAAATGGTGTGCAAACAGCCTTCTACTAACTGGCTTGCTACATCCTTTGCATCATGGGCCTCTTACAAGTCTACCCTCTGTGCAAAACCTAATCACATAAAAACTTTCTACTCCCTAGACCGCCACCCTTCCTCAAGATTTCTTTCTTTTAGACATTCTGCTGACCTGCCCAAACTTGCCTCAAAACTCTGTTATTTCCTCACTACATGTTGCAAGACACTGATTCAGTCAGTATTCCCCTGGGCCATGCATCAAACACCGTGTCACCTGATGTGGCAACAACTCATCAGGGGTAATTCCTAAAGAACACGTGTTAGCCAGGCACATACTGATACATTCAATCCCTTTGCTACAGAAGGACCCCAAGACATGTAAGACATTGATCTTTTATTCAGTTGGCTTGATTGATTTCGTTGTATTTCCTTCAAAAATTTCTTCTTTATTATAGCTGTGGCTAGCTAACCTAACGAAAAAATGGAATTGCTAGATATATTAGGGTGTTTTAGTTATTACGACAATGGACTATTTCTAATTCATTTTATTATATTAAAAAGTCACTCTCAACTAAAGTAACCACTGCATTTCTTTTGTATAAAGGTAATTTTACTGGTTTTCCTTACAACTGCCACCTACACAGCGCAATAGCAGGAAATCCCTTTTTATAAAAGGTAAAAGGCTAAGAAGCCATTTCACATTTTTTTTTTAAAAAATCGTTCATAGGAATAGGTTCCTAAGTAAATAATCAATTATATGGACAAAGACGTATGTACACAAAATGTCTGAAACAATAATAGTGAAAATTAGAAATAACCTATTCAATGATATGGGAATGGGTAAATGAACTGAGTTGCATCCATCAAATGGAATATTATATAGCCACTAAAATTATCATTTTTGTAAAAAATTTAATGCCAAAAAAAAACTAGCTAAAAACTGTTTACAGTTTAATCCCAATTATGTAACAAAGTATATAATATACATTCAGTTATACATGAGGGAAGCTGTTAAAAATGGTTACTTCTAGGTTGTGGTATTATTGGCAATCATTTTTTCTTGTTAACACATTTCTGCAATTTTCAAGTTTTCTACAGTAAGTATGCGTTATTTTATAACTTGGAAAAACACAGGCTATTAAAAACATCCTCTGATGTACTGGCAATAACCATGTACTTAGGTATTTTAAATTGCAGGAAAATGATCAATGTGCTTCATTTTCTATAGCCTTTTTAGGGTACATATTCTTTCAGTAACAAAGTTTTCATTTTCTGCTTGTTATAACACTTTAATAAAAATGTAACATTGTGAGTACAGGCATTGTTTCTTTCAGAGCCTAAACAAATACTGCTTTTGAAAACTAGCTTCTTCTATTTCCTAGAAGATTTAAAATTAGTATTTTTTAATCTTAAGTAAAGCATGCCGCATACATATATTACATGCATGCTTTCCAAAAAAATAATTCTAATTTACAGATTTCCTACATGAGGAACAAATTGAAATTGTGGTAATTTAAGTCTATTGCTTTATCCATCACAAACATACTGGTCGGCATAAACATATTTACTAAAAGAAATTTATCCTTAAGAAATAAAAAAGGGAAGCCTGTATGTAAATGAACTTGTGGACTCAATTAGTCAGAATTTATTCTGACTTGCACCAAACCACGCAAAATCTTTTAACGTCTAATTAGTGTTGTTTACATAGACACTCCAGAGTCTATTCCTGAATTCCACCACAAGAACTCCACTTTCTGTTTTCAGAAGGAAGGGGATCGGGATGAGGGTTATCACATAAGCTAATTTTCCGGATATATCAAGTCTCCTGGGGTCTAGGATCAAATACTGCCGTTGGTTAGTGTTTAAGTACACAAGTGTCTCTCTCTCCTCTCTTGCTCCCCACTCTGCCCTAGAAACTGGGTGGGGAGAGACTGTCCATCCCTCCATAGAAGACAGCTGGCTCCTCGTCTTAGCTTCCTTTCTAAACCACAGAGTGGTCATTGTTGTGAACCCCAGCCAGGATGGTGTGGTTGAGGGAGGAAGCCGAGCGGTCAGAGCCTTCCGCAGGGCCGTTGGTGCTCTCACTGCGCTGGCAGCAGAGGATCTGTCTGAAGGTGGCGCTCATCTCTTTGTCTCGGTAGGAGTAGATGATGGGGTTCATGGCAGAGTTGAACTCAGCAAGGAGGAGGAAAAATTTCTCATAGGCCAGCACATCGCACTGTGGGCAACACACGTCCAGTAGTAACAGGACCAGTCCTGGAGTCCAGCAGATGATGAAGGCACCTGCAAGGACAGGAAGACCAATCAGGGGAAATACGAAGAAAGAATGAAAAAAAATGTAACCAAAAAATGATTTCAGATCAGTGTAAACCACACTGGAAACTACCAGTCATCGCTGCAAATAAAATATGAAATAATCAGGAAGAATTTTAATAGCAATAACATTTCATCAATTCGGAGCCTACTAACCTCGGCTTTGAGCCAATGATTATGATTATTTTGAGCAAAACAGAGTTTGATAAGCAAGTGAGATATGAAAAACTATATTCTGGATACACTCCACCTGTCACAAGGACATGGTTATTCATAGCAAAAGGTTGCTTTCAGGCTAAAGACAAGCACTAATGATTTTAACATCCTTTCATGCTTAGTTAACCAGCTCAGTTTCTGGTTCTAGTTTTCCTGGGCTCAAGTTCTTGTTTTGCTATTTATTGAAACAGATAAACATAGGCAAATTATTTATTTATACATTTTCTCATCTGAAAAGTAGTGATGATTATATCTACTTCATGAGGTTGTTGCAAAGATTAAATAAATAGTAAGAAAGTGATCACCCAGTATATATTAATGATGATGAGAATAATATTATTACCTACCTGGTCAGTATCAGTTAATAAGAGCCTGTTCTGAAGTAGTGGTTTCTGACACTAAAGTATGTTTTATCTTTATTCAACAATCACTTATATAATGTTGTACAAATAACACAAACTACACAATAGCTGTATGACATATAAACTTATAGCCCATTGTGCAGGTGATGAGACTTTACCTAGCTCATGACAAACCTGGAACACCTAGCTCATGCCACAGTACTGGGAATTGATAGACAGGTGACAAAGTCCAGATTCTGTTTTTGAAGACTGGTTCCAGAGTTCACATGCCAGAAAACACTGCATTATATACTTCTACCTCTCAAAACTAATAAAATCAAATATTTTAAATATAATTTATCCTTCTGGTATTTTACTAATTTAGATCAACTTTGTCCTACTCCTTCTATTATGAAATGTTAAAATTTACTATAACTGCATGAGAAACAAAAATATACATTATATTCTACATCCCGATTATATTTAGTCTTGAAAACACTAATCATTTGGATGTGAGGGAAAGCAGGAGTTGCAAAATGGCCTTAAAGCCTACAAGTGTGTTAGCCTAGTATCTGCTGGGCATCCTCAGCTGAAAGGACTGGGGGTGGGTGGACACCACCTTGTCCCGTTACACCTCACCTAAGGGGCCCATGTAAGAGTCAGGCAAATTATTAACAGAGGTGGGCCAGGTGATGAGGAGGACTCCAGAGTGCTCCTCGGCTAGAGTCCTGGGTCTGGACCAGCCTCAAGGGATAGGTTTCCCAAAGGTAAACAAGTGAGACTCAGTCTCCAAACAGCCCAGTTCTGAATGTGAGCTTTCTTTTCTGAAACTTTTCAGCAATGAAAATGAAAATAACGTGATGAGAAAATACCCCCAGAAAGTTCTTTGTTCTACAACGTGAATGCATATTGGTCTTAAACTGCTGTTTGCTTTGAAGACTGTCCAAGGTGTTTCGTTTTCTCATAAATGCAATACCTTAGATTTTCCTTCAAGAAAAAAAATAATATTCCAAATATCAGGAGATAATAGCCAAGGAGCTATCTGAACTTCAATAAAAATGTTAATAAAGCATTCATTCCAAGTCCTTGAATTTCCTTTATTGAAAAATCACTTAGAAAGCTAAACATAAAGGAAAATCAAAGGAATGCCTCTTGGGTTTCAGAAATAATGCATTATTCATTGAGAAGCCAGGAAGGGAATTATTCTCAGGGTGGAAAATGCTTGGATGGAAAATGCATGGTCCCATTATTCATGTACTTGGAAACTAAAAACACACAGAGCCCCCTCATGAATAGAAGAACATTCTTTCAAGTTTCTTTCTCTTTTCTTTTATCAAAGCTGTAATTGAGCTCAAACTTAGAGCTTGATTAGACACAAGCAACACATAGATGTAGCTTACATAAAATGATCTTTTTCACCTTCCAGACACCAGAAATAAATATTCCTTGTAATGGCATATTTGGTCAATCTGTTTGACTTGTTCAAAAGCAAAAAAATTCATACAGTCATTTATTATGATTTTTTTCCCAATGTTAAAGTTCAAGAAGAACAAGCTCTTTCCAAAAAGATCCATGGTCTCAGAAACTAGCCTATGGATCTTACTTTTAGGCCCAAAACTTACAAGGATCCCTGTTACCTTGGACACAGGAAGTGAGTAACACCATGGCCTGAGAGAAGCTAAACATGTGGACATTTCATTGGGAACCCAGAGTCCTCTCGCTTCTCCACTGGAAGAAACTGTTTTTAGTACTATGATTAAGGCCAACCACACTGTGTTTTTATCTTTAAGACTCAATCAAATAATTTCAGTGACTAACAGTACAGACCTCAGAAATCAACATGTAAAACCAACTGCATAGAATTTTCCCCTCTATCCTCTTCTCTTCCTTTCCACATGGGTGTCAAGGACCAAAAGACGAGAATGAACTACAGATGGCGAGAAAGAGGTCTGGAAAATTCCAAAGTAGTTAGGTGCCTAAGCCATAGTGAATGAGTATGCTGAAACCAAGTTTGATTGAAACAGGAATTTCCCCCTGAGCTTCTAAAAACACAAATAAGTCATATCAAGCCCCTTTAATAAGAAGTAGCCAACCATAACTCAGTTGAGCTTGTGTATCATAGACATTGCTAACATGAAGGCTGGAGAGAATCAAGTGTAAGACAGGTGGATAAATAAAAAACAAAAACAGACAAAACCCCTCCACCTCAGCATCTATAAAGTGAATAATTAGGAGCTCCCTACCTGCCCCGCAGGCCATGGTGAGGATCGAATTAAGAAACAACTTGCAGAAGCCCTCCTTATACTGCATACCTACCTGACCTCCACCACACCTTGCCACCACCACGAGAAGCACAAATACAAGCAGAACGTGAAAGCAGGAACTGGACCAAAAAGACCTGGCATTTTGAAGAGTTCTGACAGTACCCTGTTGTGATCGTAAAAATCTTAGGATCTGCAGATGAGTGTGAAGAGGAAAATCAGAAGGTATAGAGAGGGAATGCATGCAAGCACAGGAGCCCAGATCATTTTCAAGGTTCTCAAGAGTGAATTTATGAGGCAGCGGCCAGAGGAGCGAGGGCCGGAGCCATGCAGCGCTGAGGGGGGCTGCAAGCCACCGCCACCGTCTCCAGGTGGGCGCCCTTCATCATGAACGCCGGCAGCCCTGGATAAGGTTTCATCACTTTAAATGATTTTGAACCAATGAAGCTGTATCCCCTTAAAAAGAAACATCGCGTGAACCATAGTATGTGGACAGATTAATATTGGGTTCATAGTGGCGTAATGCTTGCAGACTCCTGCGAGTTCCTTTAAGTTCTTGGAGGGCTGCTTGGCCTTTTGAATCTAGGAGTTGCAAAGTTTGATAAAGAATGGCCTTTGTGGATAAGCACGAAGTCAAGCGACAGCGATTGGACAGAATTTGTGAGGTATCTGCCCCCAGATCATGAACGGCCCCTGCAAACACCTCTTCCGCCCCTGGTGGCGTTGTTAGATGGCAGAGACTGCACCATGGAGATGCCTATCCTGAAGGACCTGGCCACAGTGGCGTTCTGTGACTCACAGTCAAGACAGGTATTGGAAGAGGCTGAGGGTGTCATGATGTACCACACCATCACCCTTACCAGGAAGACTTGAAGAAGTTCAATGCCCTGAGAGTGATCCTGCGGATTGGCGGTGGCTATGACAATGTGGACATCAAGGCTGCTGGCGAGCTGGGGTCGCTGTGTGCAGCATCCCATGGGCAGCTGTAGAAGAGACAGCCAATTCCACCATCTGCCATATCCTCAACCTGTACTGGCAGAACACATGGCTGTACTAAGCACTGCAGGAAGGGACATGGGTATAGAACGTGGGACAGATCTAAGAAGTGGCGTCAGGAGCAGCCCAAATCCGTGGAGACACACTAGGCTTTAATAGGGCAAGCGGCTGCTGTTTAAGCCAAGGCCTTTGGATTCAGCATCATGTTTCATGACCCCTACTTGCAGGATGGCATAGAACGATCCCTGGGTGTGCAGAGGGTCTACACCTTACAGGATTTGCTGTATCAGAGTGACTGTGTCTCCTTGCACTGCAATCTCAATGAATATAACCACCACCTCATCAGTGACTTTACCATAAAGTAGATGAGGCAAAGAGCACTCCTAGTGAATGCAGCCCGAAGTGGCCTGGCAGATGAGAAAGCCTTAGCCCAGATCTTCAAAGAGGGCAGGATACGAGGGGCAGCCCTTTATGTGTACAAATCTGAGCCCTTTAGCTATGCTCAGAGTCCACTGAAAGATGCACCAAATCTCATCTGTACTCCCCACACAGCCTGGCACAATGAACAAGCATCCCTGGAGATGAGGAAGACAGCTGCTATAGAGATCCACCAAGTGATCACAGGTCGCATCCCAGAAAGATTAAGAAACTGTGTCAACAAGGAATTCTTCATCACATCAGCTCTATGGTCAGCAATAGACCAGCAGCAATTCATCCTGAGCTCGGTGGTGCCACATACAAGTATCCACCAGGTGTGGCTCCAGGAGGACTCATTGCAGCCATGGAAGGGATTATTCCAGTAGGCATCCCAGTGATTCCCAACTTCCCCATGGTGGCACATCCTTCCCAAGCCCCCTTTCCCAACCAGTCCACAAAACACGGGACAATCGAGAGCACCCCAACGAGCCACAGCAGGGAATACTGAAAGGTAACCATTTGGATAAACTTGAGACCAAGAGACAGTGAAAAATGGATGAACTAAGAGAAAAGTCTTTGGCAGTCTTTTTAACTGTTCCTGAACATATATATATATATATCCTTGATGTTGCAGTGTTCCAGCTACAAGAGCTAGAAAACTGAAGGTATGTGCTTACGGAAGCACTGAAAGACTAGGATGTGACTTATTAATGACCAACTTCTGTTATTGTGTGTCAAG